CCCCGAGGCTCCGCCGGCTCATTGTTGTACAGAGTGTCAGTATTTTATTGGCACGTTTTAGACCCGAGGCTCTGCAGGTTCACGTCTACTATAAAGTACCTGCAGTTAAACCCTCGGCAGCAGCGGCACAGACTTTTATCTGCCCCGCGACACTCGGCACCAGCAGAGAGTTTCAGCCGATAAATGAGTTCAATATTTAGCAGCAAAACTGATGCCGTTTTTTTTTTAAAGATTTTTATTTCCTTGTGTCATTTTCCAACCCTCTCTCCTTTTCATCCCGGCGTTCCAGCACAGCGTGGAGTTGTGTGAGGTCGGCGCAGACATGTGACACCGCTCCCTCGTACAGTTGTTTGTCTTCCCCAGCTGTTGTGATTGTGGGTGCGGTTCTCGTCCCATCTACGTGGCTGAGAGGATGGGTTTACAGAAATGTGAATGGGAAGTGTGAAGTGGCCAATTCCTGCCGCTAACAATAGGTGTTGAAGCTGCGGGCAGGAAGGAAGGTGAGCGGGTTTAAATCACAGTGACACGGCACAGGCACAGGCTGAGGCTGAGGGAAAAACCCGAAGGGAAAGTATCTGATGTTTTTATCTTTTATCTGCTAATGGTTTCTCACGCAAATCCTGTTGTTTGGTGGAGGAAATGGAAACTGTCTGGGTCTGAGGACCGGAGTCGGTCGTCAGTTAGAGCGTTCACACAGAGTTAACACAGAACTGAGTCAGACTTTTTTATTTTTACAGTTTTTACCATCACATCCTGTAGAGTCCTGAGCTGTGTTACGTTTTATTTGAATGTTTTTTAACTTGTTTTGTCAGGAAAACATCACAGATTTTCAACCAAACGAGATTCAAAAACATTTTCATTTTATTTTATTTTCCCAAATCTGAACAAAACGTTTAAAGAAACTTCGGACTTTGACCTGGGGTCTAAGACGTCCCCTAGAATTCCAAAAAGAAGTTACTTTAGTTACTCTGAGCTACCAAGTTACAGTAGTGCCACATCATGCTTGGTGCTCTTGCCTTACAGAGAGAAGGTCAGCAGTCCAAGTCCCAGTTTTAATGTCCTGTACTAAACTAAAGGAAAAACTCAGTATGTTTTCTCGTAGTACTCTGGATTTCCACATCAAAAAACATGTTGAATTGAAGGTTAGGTTTTGTAAGATTTTGAATTGTTAAAAACTGCCCTCACCCCTGTCCACTGATTGTCCACTGACTGATGTCACTCTGCTGTGATTCTATAAATAATGATGATGATAATCACCACTTGAATGAAAGGACGGTGTTTTTTGCTGTACTTTTATGACTTCCAGTCAGCAGCAGAGCGAGCCGCTGCGGTCTGGTGTGGATCTCTAACACACATGCTCAGTGTTTATGGATAAACTGCGAGGGCCTCCTGTGGTCGGCCTCCCTCCGTGCTCCCACTATCTGAACATCTTAGCACAATATTTCATTCTTTACAAGTGATTCTCATCAGTTCTCGCAGCACATCTCAGTTTCTGCCAGTAAATCTCATTTCATCCTCTCTATACTTCAAATTTATTCCACTCCGGCACTGCGCCTGTGTTTATACTTTGGCCGCACATGCAGAGATAATCAACTTCTTGGCTCCATCCAGAGCGTTGGCTCACGGTGCGTTTTTTTTTTTTTCTGTCTCTTTTACCTCGACTCCCCTCTCGCTGTTAATCTCCCCCTTCTACAATCTCCTCTCCTCTGCACCTCTCTGTCTGCCTCCCCACTCACTGACAAGTCTCATTTGGTGATCTATTGTTGGAGGCCAGTGAGTTTATGGAGGAGGTGGTCAGTCCGAAACCCAAGCAGGAGCCGGCGTGGCTGCAGCCGAGCGTGACGGATACAATAACCCCCGCAGCAGGAGCACCCATGTGCTAAATTACTGCCACAAATGTTCTTCTGTCCGGAGCCGGAGCAGGACTTTCATCAGAAACGTTTCGTTATCTCACTTCACGACACGCACCCTGACCGAGGGCAATTATTAGCTCCTCTATCGGGGGAGAAATTGTCTTAAAATATCTATAATTAACCTTAAAACTCTTTAAAGGAACCATTTAAACATACGGATAATTTGTAAAGAAATGACAGAGCTGTTCTGATTATGGCTTCTGTTCAAAACTCTCTTTGTTATTATCAAAGTCTGAGTCGATTACACGTCACACTGAAATGACCAACATTCACCAAATGTTTGAATTAGCATTAGCTCGAAATATAATCTTTGATTAAATTGCTTCAGAATAATTCTAAAACCGTCCCAAACGTTATTTTACAGGGTGAAAAAATTTATTTTAATTTGAATGTATACTTGACTTGAACCGATGTAGGAAAAATGTAGCCAAGGGCAGATGGAAACGGCTAAACATGCGCATGAAATGTCTACGATTTTGTAAATCCTCGCACCAGATACATTCAATTTAGCAATTTTAGGGTTAAAAGGATAAAAGATAAACAGTTGAGTTCATAAAACAACAGCATTCACAGAAACAAAAACAGGACTAAAAATGTGGCTAAAATTACTCAATGTTAGCAAGAAAACACGAAATATCGCCAACAGCGGTTAGCGCGCCTGCTTCAGAAGCAGAGAGCAGGTAGTCCTGGGTTCGATTCCCAGAGGTACCATATACTGCTTTTGAAGCAGATCTGCTGTTAACACATGGAATAAACCTAGTTTATTATTATTATTATTATCATTAAGATCGTTTGACTATTTCTTTCATCCAGGAAAGATTCAGTGCCGACAAATCGTTATTGTGTTTGTCGGACAAAATGAGAGATTTTGCTGGTAGCATCGTTATTGTGTTTGTCGGACAAAATGTGAATGCGCGAGAGATTTTGCTGGTAGACGTCGGGGCAGCTGTGGAGAATGGAACAGAAAACAGTTGTAAAGTATGAAATATTGTGCTGGGATGTCAGATAGCGAGAGGACGGAGGGAGGCCGACCACAGGAGGCTGTGAGCTCACCATAAACAGAGAGCATGTGTGTTAGTGATCCCAACCAGACCACAGAGGCTCGCTCTGCTGCCGACACAAACACAGGAACACTCTCTGTGTGTGTGTGTGTAAATGTCTACGTATATGTACGCGTGTGTGACAGTGTTTGTTTCAAACCACAACACAGCACAGGCAAACAGCTGTCGTAGCCAGCGCGGTCAGCGCCGACCTCAGCCGCGTCCAGACCTGGTTTCACCACATGTTTTTCACCCTCTGTGGTTCTGGTTCTGCAGTGGAACCGGGCACCTCTGCTCTGACCATGTTCATTAGGGATTTTTCAACAGGGAACTGTTGATGTACATTAGCAGGCAGCGGTGGGGGAAGTGGTGCGTGGTAATGAAGAACAGTACCAGTGCCTGCGGCCAGGATGGGAGCGAGGCAGTGCAGAGAGGACAAAATGTACAAACTCCACTTTTAATAGTCCACGGATAAAAAAAAAAAAAAAAAGTTAAATTTAATCTATCAACTCTGTAAGTACCAAACAAACAGTTTATGATGTTGGTCATGATCTTTTAAAATGAAAGATGAACCTTATTATCGGTCGGATGAATAATTAGCGGTGGTGAAAAAAGTGGCTAATTTGGCAGCTAACTCAGCTACTTTGCCATAGTAATTTTGGGCTATTGTGAGGGCCCGCCCCGCAGTTTGAGAACCAGGCCCTTAAGGTGGATTTGACCCCACCCAGTCAGTGTGTGACCCAGTTCAGTTCTATACATAGAGTGAAGAATAACCAGCGGTTCTGTGTGACTTGCTGTTGTTCCTAAAACAGTTTTTTTTTCTCCACTCTTCATTCTCCTCCACATCGACTGACACGGACTGAATACTAATTAATACAATCAAACAGTGGAACCATATTTGAGTTGTTTTTTCTTCTTCAGTAACCTCCTGACTCCGTCTACTCCCCAGACTGATTTGCCGGCTCATCACTATCGCTGCCAAAACAGTTCCAACTTCCTCTCTTTTAATCGTGGATCAAAGCGCAGCTTTTCGGCGCCGCTGACATTTTTTTTTTAAAGTCACGTTCTCCCGCTCTGCTGTCGGCTGATCCTCCTCACCTTCTTCTACCTCCGTCGCTCCCAAAAAGTTCTCCCTCACACTTCCACGTTATTTCTCTCTCTCCTTTTCCTCCTCCTCCTGTCAGGACTTCAGGTAAATTATGATTCACACCTGGCTTGGTGTTTTCCACCGGTGTTAGAGAACATGTTTGTGTGTGGGGGGGGGGAGACGAGGACGGGGGGGGGGGGGG